GGGGCGGGGGGGGGGGGGGGGGGGGGCGTACTCTCATGTTTTGCATACCTCGAGAGGACGGAGAATTGTTCCCACAGGACCGACCGATCATCGATGGCCAATTGTTCCTTCCTACTTTGCCAGAGGTGGCTCAATCACGTTTTCCCGAATCTATCGATAGTAGGGCTTGCCGAGGTTTGGGGTAAATTCGCAACCCGTGATTGGTGGAAAAGGGAAAACGAGAGGTTACCAGGGTGCGAGGGGACAGGATAACAGAGGAAGGGGTGCCTTTCTACGCGGTTCAAGATTCGCTGAATGAAAATATCAATAACCATTTACAGTGGTGGCTGACTGGCCTGAATCTGCTTGCGGGGGGATTCATTCGCGTAGTGCAATCGACTTTAGTCGCTGCGCCGCTGACCCCGCTTCTTGTGTCACTTCCACCGACATTGATGTTCGGTGTCTTGTTTCTCCACGTACGATGTCAGTGGCGTATGGCAGGTGCTTGGTGCCCGTCGAGCCTGGCAACCGCGGCGCCCCTCACGAGGCTACGGTGCTAAGGAGCACCGCTAGCGCAGACCGGGAGGGCAGCGAAGGCATCCTTGGCGGCTGCAACTCCGTGCGGCGAGAGTTTTTTGAGAGACATCGGTGAGAGGGAGAAGCTCCAGGCCCCCGCTATAATTCAGTTATGTTCAACAACCCCAGGGCGGTAGAATGCAAAGCGCCGCCGCCTGTTGAAACCCTCCCGTCCCGTTCAACCAACCGCAAATCTCAACTGTACGTCACTTTCAATCGCACCGGCTGCGGGTCGAGAATACTTTCCAGCAAGAAGAAACAAAGCATATGTACTGCACGTATCTTCTCTACGCTCGAGCTCCAGTCGCGTCAATAGATCGTGGTTCATTGCACGCCCCTTGATGACCCCTGGCTTCGGCGCGTCTACGAGGGGTGAACCTGAAATGAACCCTCGTTGGATCCCAAAACAGATGACTTAGAACACTGTCGTGTTCATGTCCGAAGGTTCTTCCTCTACCTCAAGTAGAGATGCAGTAGCCTCTGGCCATCGCCCCTCATCCTCGTGTCGTGATCTTGTAGTAAAGATATCACGTGACCGACATTTGCAAACGCCATACGCCCCGCCCCCCGCCTCTTGCATGTGCACCACTGTGTCGACTTCGATCCGAAGGCACTCAGTAATATTCGTCGGCTTCAAGGACCACGTTTCCTTGACGATGGTCACTCTCGACGTGTCGGGGCTTTTGTGTGTGTGGCCCTACAGCGCCGACGCCTTTTCGGGGTTCGGGTGGTACACACCGTCCAAGGTAATGGAATCACCGCTAGTGAGGGGGTAATTTCTTGCTCTACTTGTACCTTGTTCTGGGAAAACAGCTCGCTCTGAATGTAGATGTACGTTCCGTTACCTTTCACGAGTGGAACGGAAGGACGGTGTGTAAACGTCACAACGTCTTCTATCACGAAAACGGCGAAGACAACAACTACCACCGTGCTACGAAAAAGGTGCCGTCTGCATTTCGCAAAAGCAGCGTCGTACAGACGACGTCATGAGGGATATATGCCTTCCATGGTCATGGGTCGACCGTGACACGTCGTAACGGGATTCCCCGCTCTGTAGAAACCCTATATCAAGGAAATATTAAGAACCGTACCCCACCCAAGTACCGACACCATTGTGCCAATTGGTGTTGCGCATGTTGGTGCCGCGACGATAAAGTTTATTGCAGTATCCTGCACAAAACCACAATATTGGGCCTGTGACCTTGACACCGGATAAGGACTAACTTCTGATCAAACTGGCTCGTTGGTATGTACATCATTGGCTCCCAATGACCAACTACAGGAGGTAGTGGTGGACGTGACGCTTCACTCCTACAGGCTAGAAAGCAACAGAGTAGCCAGGAGGGGCGAACGCGGCGCCGGCGGTGGAGGCGGCGGGGGCGGCGGTGGACCGGAGTTTATTTTCAACAGAGCGCTTCCTCCGGTACGGACGCTAGTTTTGGAACTACTCTACAGCCTTCGCGGTGTAGTTTTGCAGGGGCAGCTGAACGAAAAGTACGCTAGTTAAGGAACAGCTGGCTGAAGTGTCAAGGGCAACACAGCGATACATGGAAGGAAACACGGCCATACAACTGCTTTTCAGAAAGCGCCGCGCTAGCATGAATACCCGAATAAAGCGTTGAAGGAAGCACGGCCATTCATCACTGGTTTGGGGCGATCTATTCGCCAGCAGTATGGACCACTCAATGTGGCGTATAATGAACGTCTCGCGAAATGTGTTCGCGTTGCCGCTTCTGCTTCAGCGGCTGCTGCAGTCCTCGGGTCCTTTTCTGATTATCGTGCGCATAGAATTGTATTGGTCATTGACAACAACCCCCCTGAAAAACATTCCCGGTCGTCCTCACCGTCGTGTTCGGTTCAATAAACATCGCCTGGTAGGTATTTTTGTGTTCAAGCCTCATCTTTCGGCGTATATACATGGGGTCCCCCTCGTCTTCTAGCTGATTTTCTCTGATCGGCGTTTTCGCTTGGCGAGTTTATCTCCACGCTACGCTGTAGGAGCGCCGTCGGGGCAAAAATAGGCTTTCTGCCGATTGGTCCAGGAGATATCTCTGAAAACGTAGCCTCTCCCAATGTATTCCCCTCGCTGTTTTGGGTGTTTTATGAAATGTTCGAAACCTTTTTTCGCCCCAAAAACCAAACCCACATGGCGCCCACGAAGGACTACTCGGAGACTGGAAACCCCCGTGAGGCGTTGGCCGAGCTAAGAACTGGCGGGGGCTATAGGCTTTCGTCGACCGAACGTACCGCAGGCCGCGGCCGCGCGGAGACGTACATCGGTCCGCCAGACAGTGGTAGTGACAGGTACGAAGTGTTGTCAACTTGCTGAATACGCCAGGACGCATTCGTTTGTCTATGCTCGGTACGGATTTAGTGAAAGTATCCCGTAGGTTGCCGCCAATAGAAGCAGCAGCAACAGCAATATCATCATCAACAACAACCGCAACACCACCACCACCACTAACAACAACAAGCATTCAACCAACAACTAACGGCCAATAACAGCCTCTGGTGCTTCGCCACCCTTTCCCTTTAGGGCTCACTCGTTCGATGGGGCACTCCGTGTCATCTCGTGGTGTCCCATTGGCACACGAATGCACGCCTACCAGGGAGAGTTTCGGATAACCTTAGCATTCTGCCTGTGCGTCTGGTAGGAATGACTATCGTCTCTGTGCCACGCTCTCCGCGACTTTGCCCCGTCCGGGGTTCACAGCTGGGAGGGTTAGTATTTTCAAAGACCATTCGATATTGTCCCCTCGTTCTCACTTTGGACGCGTGGAGTTTCTCCAGCATCATCATATCATATTAAGAGATCGTGATTAGCAACCTTCCTGGGCGAAGCACGAACAGCCTCCCCGTTCTAACCGTGCGCACTATGCCCTGGTACCCTCGTTCAATCCGCTACAGCCGAGGTGGCGCCGCGGTTTTTCGGGCGATCGTGGCAAGGTACGACGAGGAAGGGGAGCTCAAGTCGGCGACTAGGTTGAGGGCTCTGGAATGCGCTCGGGAGGGGATGATCACGGACGCTAAGCTCACAGCGTCCGGAGGTAGGCTTACAAACGAATCGTAGAGCACCGATTAGCTCCAGAAACATATTATCGATCCTGTAGTAACCCTCTTGGGGCTCCGGACGAAAAAGTGTGCCCTCGGATGGAATGTAGATGTAGATGCGCACTTTTCCCTACGGTTGGCGCAGTCTCTTGCCGGCGGGCAAGCCGGGCGGCCATGTTTGAACTGTTGCGACAACTATCAATATCAATGTTACATGCGGTCATTGCACTACCGTAATCAATGTGCACCCACGCTCTACCCAACAGCACGGCCACACAAAGAAGTATAAACAGGTTGCAGACCTAGGGATATGACCGACAAAAATAGTCCGAAACGTAAGGACTGATGACATCAATCCGTCGATGGTGCGAAGAGCTCCAGTAGTGATGCTCATGGCGGCAGCGATCAATCACTGACACATATGTGCTGCTACTCGAGTGAGACTCCCCTGAGGAGATTACCCGGCCCTAGTTGGCAGAGACTAGACGGCAGAGACGGCTGGCATGATTTTTCGCGCGTGTCTTCCAATAGGCGCGCTTAACGTCGACGTGGTAGGTACGGTATCTCTACGTCCGCTGTTGGCGCTGAGGACCATTGAACAGTGGTCGCCCGCGATGCGCGTCGTACCCACCCGGTGTCACATTTACGACCCGGTTTCGCGAACCGTGTTGGTCGATTAGGGGAGCTCGCTGTCGTCGCGTCCTACCTACCCCTGGCCAGCGGCAGCTGCGGTTCTGGTGCCGGCGGTTCTAGCCCCACCGGTAGCGGCGACGGTACATCGGGGAGTGAGGAGGTACCGCAGTTTACGGCGATGGTCTTCCTTGTGAACCTTGAGGTGAGGCGGTTCGCCGACGACGAAGTGACGAACGTCGCACTTCGGCAACATTCTTGTGCGGCACGAACGTTGAACACCCCCGCGTGGGCAATAAGTAGTGGCTCCTACGCTCCGAATTTCCAAGTTCGGAGATCGTGTGGAAATATCGGAATATCCGAAGAACAGAGGACCAACTTATGGCATGGGAGGTTTTGCGCGAGAGCTGAGCCAATACGTGTTGCGGAGCACGCTGGGTATGTTAATCAAACGTGAATGGTTCATACCATGATCGCCTTTGCTTCCCCCGGTTGTCTAGGTAGTGTTGTTCCGCCAACAAATTTCGGCCGAAATGTTGTTGCATGGACTCCATTTTACTCCGATGGAGTTTGCAATAATTGCAGAAAGACATATTCTCCGCCTCCCTTGAATTTCACCCCGGGAGTAGTAGTTATGTCCTGATGAGAGTTCCTCTCGAGGCAACATTCTTTTTCCCATTGCTTCCTGCCGAGTTTTTCGACTGTGGCATCACCACGAATCAAAAACACTTGTTTGTGGGGGGCGACGACGCCGTTCTGTTCGGTACTTGTGCGAGGAGTGTGCTACGATCAGCGGTTGCATGTTGTTGCGGATCTGCGGTCGGGGTTTGGATGCTTGTTGACAATGTTTCACATGCTTTTGCTGTTCATCCTGGAACGCTGAACAGCATGGCGTCGTATTTTGCAAAGATGCGCAGAATCGAAACTAAAATCCAGCCAAATCTTCTCTGTCAGTGCAAGAAAGACGATGAGGGTTGAACAGTCAGAATGAAACCAATGTATAGACACATGAAAATAAAATGAAATATGGAACAGGAGAAGGAGGATGCGCAAAGTACCCACCAAGGACGCGGTAGTCGCCGATCAACGCCACCACTTCGTGCCGTACGTCCAGCGAGAGCTGTAGAGAGTGGTGTGCGCTTGTATTAAACAACTGCTTCAGACATCTTCCTAGAGGGAGATTCGCCCCCGGGGTAGTACTTGACAGTACATGTAAACGCCCCGTCTCCATTTGATTCAATTGAGCCTCGGGGGGACTCAGTCCCAGAACAATACAAGATCCCCCGGACGGGAGGAAACGAGTGGAGGTTTTGGTCACTCTATCACACGCCAGCAGGGACTACAGCAGACTTCTGCACAACACAACGGCGCTGCCTATGGCACTCCGAATCAACGGCAACGCAACGTGTAGCCAAGGCAACACAGATGACAACAGAGTAACCTCCCCCATTGCCATTGCGCCCCACTGCACCTCACCCCCGTCCTCTCTCTTTCGACAACTCCTGACCAGTCGATGCAACTGCTACCGCAGCATGTGAGACACGAGTGGCCTATGACAAGCGGTAGCACCGGTGGTTTTCCGTCCCCGGCGTTCGCGGTGTCCCCCGTGCTGGACGCGACCGGATCAGACTATGTGTACCTGGCCATCGAAGACTCGGTACGTCCACAGGCTTGAGGCAATCTTGTACAGCATTGCCCGTTTAGATGGAAGCTTCAACGAAACCTCGTGGCACTTGCTCATGGCAGTTTCAACTGCTTTCTCGACTTTCTCACACCACAAAGACGAATAGTAGAGGACGCTTTAGCCCCTCGTTCCCTCGAGTAGCCTATACAGTATACATGAAAACAAAACACGAATACCAAAATTGTTCGGTGCCTTACCTTGCTCACGAAGATTCGAAACCTCGAACGTCATCAGAGATGTATAAGAGTGAATTATGCCTGAACAGGTGCGGATATTTTCGCTGGAGACGGGCTTCGAGGTGACGTTGCAAGAAGGGGGGCGGCTGTCGACGAAAATCGGCCGCAGTCCTGGCGACGGCGGCACCAGAGGCGGCAACGGTACCGCCGCTGCTACCGCATCTGCTGGCCCCACGGCGCCCATCGTGGCGGCGGAGGTAGCCTCGGACAACGGAACACTCGCTGTTGCGTGTGCTGAATCAGGTATGAAGGGCGCGGGATTGATTGCATCCGCTTTAGCAGGCAAGGGGCGAGGGTCCTAGTTTTCTGCCACAGAGCCTTGCATGGGTTCGCCGTGGCACCGTTGACCGAGATGGTGCAGTCCTCCCCGTGTGTAGTAGAGCCCCATGTTCAACGAAAAATACCCCTCCAACACGGTTTGATGCATCGTGCTGATGTGGTGAGACGTCCGTCCAACCACGCCTTACGCCTGTGGCGGGAAAGCAGGGGAGAGAGAGAACCCGGAAAAATGTGGACTGACACTACGTGTGCCCAAGGGGGGACGCTTGTTTTTCGGAAAGTAAGTGTGCTCGATCTAAACCCGAAGGAACGCAACCGCTCCCAACGCACAAGCTTTTGCGCGTACTACGATTGTGTGCGCGCGTACCACGACCGTGCTGGACGCCGGCGATCGCAAGAGCAGGTGCCATCACCTTGTTCCGGTTTCGCGATAATTCCTTGAAAGTTGCAATAGAGGAAACGCAGCGGGCCGCCCCTGGCAGCAGGAGTAGAGGCAGGAGCAGCGACAGCGACAGGAGCAGCGACAGTGGCAGCGGGACGAGCAGTGGCAACCCGACAATGTCGTGGCGACGGCTTCTCCGTACGTTTGAGTGCGATCGCCGAGATGCTACACCGTGGGAAATGAGGGTAAGCTGGAGGTATTTTGGGGGTTGATTGTAGTCATGCCACCGTGGCTGATTGGTGGCCTAAGACAACAGAATGTTGCCTAAAAGATGGCTGCCATGAGAGCAACAACAAGCAACACAATGGTTACGACAAGAGCAGCGAACAACAATTATTGTCTTTCTGTCGTCCGTTTTACATTGCCGAGTGATGCTCGTGCCCGGCGATGCCTTCGCTATGCTTAGTGACCGTGAGAGATACTTGCAGCCGAAAGTTCCCCAAGAGAGCGAAAACAGATGCATCGCCTCTGTTGGATTCTCAACGCCGTGAGAAACAGATTTCAACATGCATGGAGGAGACCGAAACGATGCGTGTTCTGAAACGCATTCGGAGGTGTTCGAGTGTTTGGCCTCCTTCTTGGCGACACGTAGGTGCCTCTCTTCCCACCCCCCGGTAAGAAGTTGCGACCGTCTGTTGTGTATGTTTCCGAACGCCAGGTCCACCTAAGCACACCCTTTGCGATGGGCAGCGACGAGGGTTTCAGCCACCGGGACCAAATTCGCCGTGTGATCGTGGGCGGCATTGTAGAGGCCGCCATCGTTCTCTCCGAACAAAACCGGACAGCGAAGGAGCTACTCATAGAGCCGATCGAGGGGATGGGCGGCCAATCTTCAGCACCGGTTGGATTGGGTGCGGGTGGGCGTGTTAGCCTCCGAGATCTCTTGGGAAAACCTCCGTACGGGACGGTCTAAAAGCGTGGTGTGTAAGGCATTGTGCGATTATTGGCTCCCTGTAGGCTGTCGGTCAATCTGAGTGCAGGGTTATGGGAAGAATTTGGCGTGGCGCCGAGTCTGTAGACTACCGGTGGTACCGTGTTTCGGGAAACACAGATGATGAATTCACCCTTGTGCAGCTTTTCTGCCTCAAGGTGGCAGATACCTTGACACGTGCGCCAGGTCGAAAGCTCCACCACGTGGAACAAAGAGGTTACAACCCTTGGGTGTCGTGAGTCCCGGCAACTACTTTGGCGCCACTGCTGTGGGATAGGCATGAACTTGGCCATTTTTCCTCCGGCAACAACGTCGATCCCAGAGATTGAGTATTATGCAATATTGGTCATTATTTTTAAGTGGGGGTCACCTCGAAGGTGGAACCTACCCTAGCGGTCTTGGGGTCTTTACACACCACCCAGAGGGCATATCTGTGCGCAGAAATTTAGCAGGTACGCTCTTGAAAATGTCCTGGCTCGCGAGCAAACGCAGGAACTGTTCCACGCCCCTCCACTTCCTCGGTAAATCGCGCAAGCTGTCACCGTGCCTTACTGAAACAGCGACACACGTAGTACAACCTCTGGAGTCGATGACGACTCAGCCTTGCACACGTCAATCTAGATAAGTTGCGCTCGGTGCCTTTCCTATATTGGGAACGCCAGGCAGAGGTGTACCTCTCCCACTGGAACGGAAAGTACCGCCGACGCCATGGCAGAGAGCAGCTGCGGTCTCGGTGGGCAAGGGACGTGCGTGCCTGGTAACCGGGGTCAATGCGTCCCCCGTTTGCTTTGAGTCGATGCCGCGGAACATTCGTCTCTCGCAAGACTGGGCGTTCCTTTAGGCGGAGAGTGTCTGGAGTTTTGACCTCGCGGTTACAAAACAAGCTGTCGAAGAGGCCTCGCCTCCACCTGACCGCGAAGAAGCCCCCTTGGGAAAGCACAGCCCGCACTATCGGTGTGGTTCGAGTCGGGTTCGACGAATGCTTCGAGGGCACTCTCTGCCTCGAACACGCGTAGTCGCGGTTCCTCGGGAATGAGCGCGCCGGCGGCCCAAAAGCCATATTTTCGCTACACGTCCATCCGGCTTCAAAGCAAACGAAACCGTCGCCGGGTCCACCCGGAGCTCGGCCCTTACACGACCATCCTCGCCAATGTAGGATCGGCGTGATCTTTCCACCACCGCTGGCGCCTCGTCGAATCCCCACAACCACGACGGCGTCGATCGTATAGACGTCCGTTTCTTCGCCGGGACAAACCGTTCGCTTTCAAAAAATATCTTCCAGCTCCCTTGTGTGCAGCGTCCGCACGTTGGTGCGCGGCACCTGCAGACCGCTCTCGATGACCTCACGCAGTGGGTCAAGAGGACGCAGCAAGCAGCCTGTGTATTAAGGCGAGGTTACCGCCTGTAGTTTCGCCGGAAGATCGGGGTTACACTCGTCTAGCGCCACTGCCAGATCCGAGGTTGTGGTGTCGTGGCTGTCGGTGCAAGGTGGTCCGACAACATTGATGGCCTTCATGGCACGAGACGTCACCATGGTTTTGGAGGTATTTGGGGGTGTTTCGTTCCCTCTGGCAGTGGTGTTTTTTCCGATGTACACATCGTGTGGCTAAATACCAGCTACGAAGCGCCGTGTGGGCCATCCTCTCTCGTTGAATGTCATACTGTGGATGAAGACAGACCCGTCGGAAAGTCGAGGTTGTGTGTCTTGGATCCCCTTGGATCCATCCACGACAAAAGTACGCAGGTCACCAAATGGCCGAGCAGAGCGTGAGTTTCTCGCATCTCGGTAAAATGTAGAGGAGGGTCGACAAGCCAATCGGATAAATACACCGAACAGAGGAAAGGTATTCCTTCGGCAAAATTGAAGTATCGACCTTGACTGAAGTCACCGGCCGGTCAAGGACAGATGTTAGCACCAAAAGTTGACCAAACATTTAGGACAATTTCGGGCACATAGTGCACTACCGTAGCTCTCCCATGGGGGCTCAAACGCGTCACAAAGAAAAATACAAGTACACCCTATAGTTACAACAAGTCATCGGCGACCCTCGGAAAGAAGTTCAACTACCTACCAGTTTTTTGATGAGGTACAACACCAGTTCGACTTCTTTACAAATGAAAAAATAAAGGCTGGGTATTCCATAACAATACAACGACCTGAGGGCGCAAAGACTGACTATTATAAGGGGGCTGGTGAGAAAAAAATGGAAAGCGACAAACGGACGCCTACGCAAAATCTGGCCGCGTGTGCAACTGGGGGCCAAGATGCACCGCTTGTCGTCTACAGAAAGAACAAAATCCAACAAAAAATGCGGCCGACCGATTTCGGAAGACGAGCGAAAGGGTCGACAAGACAATATGTAACTCGGTTTCGCATATCACAATGTGCCATAGGCCTCGGGATCCCGCCCGTTTCCAGTCAGCTGCGAGGTCGCATCTCCGCCAGTGTCGTCGTCCGCACACCCTTTACGGCCATCGGCTTCCGGGGGGATTTCCCAGTACTCGGGGTCTTCCGCCGCGGCAAGCCCTTGGCTGCCCTCGTCAGATCCCAGCGACGAGCCCCCTTCCGCGGGGTCGTGCAGTATCCACAGCATCACGAACAGGATCATCCACTCCGAGACGTGCTTGACGACCACGTACCAGTCCCAGACCCAGCTGCTGAACACCATGTTGAAAGAGTGGGTTTCTGCGGAGAAGTGGCGGCGGCACGGCCAGAACGGTGATTCCGGATTTAGGGCGGGGGGGAAGAGGTTTGCACACACACAAAAGTCCGTGGCATCAACTCGGAGAATATGCTGAACTGATTCCTCAAAGTTCGGACAAAAACATGGCCCACCACGTGCCTCGTGATGAACAACAACACCTCAAGGCGAAATAAAGGATTCACTTAGCGGGGAACGTCCTAGATTTGAACAAGTTATCCGCTCCATGTAAAGCAAGACCTCGCCAAACGCAACACCGTCAGTTGTGAAAACCGTGACAATGCGGTCGAAACATAAGGGGGGTCATCCGACAAACGTAGGGAACCTCTATGCTTCTCAAAAGCAGTGTCAGTGCGAAACAAGCTTGATGGGTTTGGCCCAGGGGGCAGCACGTCAATCCCTGTGTTAAATAGTCGATACGCACATCACCTTGGGGATCTCAAAACATACACTTATCGTTTGGCGGGTTTTCTCTCCATTGGTAAAATTTACCATTGCGCTGAAAGTGTTCATGCTTTTGACCGGCAAGCTCTCTCGCCATCCATTCCATTTGCACCCCGTCCCAAAGACTCACGCTTGAAATGCATGTAGAGCGTCAGGCCCACCGCTAGCTCGCAAACGGCTCGAATCGCGAAAAACACGTTACCGGTTACGGTTATTCTCACGATGCGCGTCACCTGTTGCGTGGACGGTCGACGGCAACAAGACCACGCAGCAGCAACAGGAGAAGCGGTGGCACAGGACCCGCACGACAGACGAACGGCAGCGAATACGGCATCACGAACTGTTACATGCAAGCCCGACCGACATTTCGGGCTCGATGAGAAGGGTGTAGCACGTTTTCTTTAGTGCGTCACTGCCCCTGCAGCTGATTACTACCGAAAAAGGGTTGAGGGAAGAGTAAGGAAGCACCACCCCACGGTCCAATACATTGCAGCAACAGGTTGAAATACATTGCAGCAACAGGTTGAAATACATTGCAGCAACAGGATGCGCGCGAGGGAACAAGCATGCATCTATCTCTTGACGGCGTTTTGATCTTGGTCTCATCGGGCCTCAATGTCGCTTTCGTCGGGCCGTCATTGCCTTTGCTCCTCTTCTCTCCTCCTCCCTCTCTTGCCTTCATACTTCCACCGCCCCTACATCCAACACCATCTCCAATCCCTCTTCATGCCCGTCCTCGTCTTCGTCCATTGTCGACTCACTTGACCATCCGTCGATATCTGGTTGACGGCGCCGAGCGTCCTCAGGACCGTTCGAAAGCGGTGCGAGAACCGGGAGATCTCCACGCTGCACACCAACGACAACATGCACAGCAGGGCACTAACGCGAACGAACGCGGTACGGCGCAACGGCGGCGACAACGCGAAAAGAGCGGCAGGGACGACACCACAGAGTTGGAACCACGTCGTGCACACACGAACGAAGAGACTAACCCTAAAACCGTCACACTAACCTCGGTGTCTAAAAAAGTTTCTTTCAAGCCAACACAAATTAATCGCTGTCCACAGAAAAGTCCACCAAGGATATATCCCCAGCAATGAAGTCTGAGCGAAATATAAACGCCGACGCCAAGAGGTGGTGTTCAGGGTATAAACGGAGCCAGGACGAATATCATAGGCAACACCCACGATAAGATCGTGAAAACACACATCATACATGTCACTGTGTACTTGGAGGAACTAGAACAAGGTGGAGAGAAATCGCTTGCCAAACACCCGACGGCGACACCCACACACCTCTCAAACATGAGCATTCCCTGGCTGCTGTAAACCCTCGTGAAGAATAGGCACGAGTTAACGCCCTCCGCCGCGGCGAGTGCCGCCGCTACCGTCATGAAGGACGCCATTGGCCGAGAAGGTCGACCGCTCTCCTTAAAGATCTGGTCAACACGCAAGATATGTAGACAGAACGCGTCACAACGGCAGCGTAAAATTTAACTCCGGTCACTTCAAGGCTCGGAGGAATCGAAAGGGAAGAATCGTCACGAAATAAACGGCGCGTCCCGTGCGAAAAAATGTGTAGCAGGTCGTTTATTGTGAAACATGCAAACACGCGAAGGCTACCGAAACCGTTCGAGGAGACGGGAAATTCCACGTCCCGCCCATTCACCAACGTCGACCGCCGGGGCTGTGGGTACGGAGAGGACAACAGCAGGGAGGCAGTTTCATGTGAAACTCTGCCACAAAAAATACACAAGCGCTGCTGAACCAGGAATATCTCGTGCACACGAAGGGTTGAGTCTCACTTGTATCCCTCCTGCTGAACGTCTATCGGTGCCATTTCCAACGCAACGCCTACCCGATATCTTGAACGTGAGACACGACTTCTCCATGGGCTGTGCTCACCCCCTTGAGCAGGTCGGCCCAGAATATAGCCATCAGGATGAAGATGCTGAACAGGCTCAAGCTGCCGACGAAAAGCATAACCTCCGACACGTACGTCCCCAGCCAGTCGCCCTTGAAGGCGTACTCCGTCGACGGGGCGTAAGTCGGCTGCAGGACCTACGGGAGACGCGCGACACCGATGATGGCAGTGATGGATAAAAACAAGTGCATTGGGTGGCCATGTCTCCACAACACTAAAAAACACTGGTTTTTCATTTGGGTGGTGGTGTCTGCACAACAATTAACACTTCTGCTTTTTCAAGTTATTTTCCTCGGATTTGATTCTGTTCGCTGGCGTCTCTTCACTAGTTAGCCCCTCTCCGCGGCGTCTGCTAGTACGAGAGCTGCGTGCGTGCGGCAAGCGTTCTAAACAACGGCATCGCTGAGGACACGAAAGACACAAAAGAACTGGCACGACAACACGTTGGCGCCATCCATGGTCTAGTTGGGCGTGCATGGAAGGAGTACCCACAGAATTCACGAAACAACAGGAGAGTTGTTGAAACGGGGTGCAAGCCACGTCCCGCGTGGTAACCGCCCGCGGAAAGGTGTAGAGCCGTACGGGTTTTTGATCAGCATCAACGGAAAAAGACATGATGACTAACGCAGCGGAAGAGGGAGAAAAGTGGTACGAAAAGGGATCCCAACGAAAGCGTTTTCAGCGCCTCACACAACTATGTCCCACCATGACTGGTCTTCTGGGATCCTGGAGAGCACGTCACGCCGCGCAACGGCGATATATCATTTCATCAACAGCAGAAACGGCGGCGGCGCGATGGGTGTCCGCCGTTAGTTACCGTAGCGAAACATGGGTGGAAAAAAGCGCGCACCTCTGTTGGGATCAAGAACCAGGTGGCTCGCACGACCGACGTAAAGAGGATGAGGGAGTAGAAGGTCGTGATCACGGCCTCGGAGCCTCGCTGCCCGGCGCTGGTGAGAAGCCGCTTCAGCGACGCCGCGGCGAGGAGCAAGAAGCCCAGCCCTAAGATCACATCCTGCGCGTTGTGTTGGTGTACGTGGCATCGGCATAATGTACAGATGTAGTGCCCGCACGTATGCACGTGGCAGTTCAGAAAATCATGCATGCTGGAGATCATATCAATCAGACATGATACATTGTATCTTGACCACCGTTTGTGGGCCCGGGCAGGAAACCTTTCTACATGAAAGCCTGCTGTGTGGGGTTGGCATTTGTAGCCCACAAGGGAATCTAACAGCCCCAGTCTACGCTGGACGCATCAACCAGGGTAATGCACGAGGAAAGTAAACACTGGAGTTTTAAATAGGGGTACATATGTAACACAGCATGAACACAATACAAACAATTGGTAGCTTGTGTGTTTCTATCATTTCAACATGCACGGGAAAACAGAGGTCTGCTGTGCCGATTGCATTGTACAGATCAGATCGATCTTCTGAGTAATTGTTGTGAAGCAACAACCTACGTTCATTCGCGATCCGAGACGTCTCATGTCTCACCATTAACACAAACAATAACAATCGATGGAATCACGAAAATACCCATATGCACACGAACTGCTGTACAACAGGGTAGGCTGGTGCTCGTAGCCTACCACTCGTTGCTCTGCTAGTTCATTAAGTAGCACTGCTGTAGGTCTACACTCCTACACGTGCAGTGGGACTTGACAGCCGATACGACTTGACACGCCGCACGTGTGCGAGAGACAGCGCTCGGCATCTTAAGAATTTTATCGTAGAATTTTGGCGCAAAGCGCAGCGCTTCCTCTACACGTATCTTATGCCAGTGCTGGGCAAGCTTTGGATCGGCAGACAATGGTGTATGACGCAGGCAGTGTCCGTCACCGTGGTGTGCGTGCTGTAGGCAGTCAACGAAGGTCAGATGGATGTTTCGTCGCCGCAACGCCAGTGGTCAAACAAGGCGGTCAAGTAGGCATCTCCGCCAAAATGCACTGCTGCTTGGTGTGCGTTCGGGGTTGAAAGTACCAAGGGCAAAGGGAAACTCAAGCAGCGACACACAAAACCGCTGAGAGCGTCGTATTGTGAAACTGCACGTTGAAGTAATGGACGCAATGCTGCTGTTCGCCTCCTGCTGCACTCTACGGTAGACTAGGTACTGGTGCACAGCTGTAGACGACTACAACTTGTAGACTCTTTGCAACTGCTGTGTGTGATGAATCCACGTGCACAACGTTTGCCTGCTAAATATCAACCACCACTGCTCTAGTACGACGTAGATCTCGGTGAGGTATACCGCACGAATTCAGGGGCAGGGGCGCGCCTTTCTTCACCTGTCTAAGCTCCCTCGCAGTCTCGCTTCCGACCATGTCATCGCTGTGGTGGCTCTTCCTGTCTGATCTGCTGCGTTGTTCGTGTGCTGCAACCCACCGCGATGAGTGGTTTGCATACACGGGCCCCTGCCACGCGCCCCCGCACGAATCCCCGAAATCCGCATTGCTGTCCCCCTTGGAGAGTCTCTCGCCTACTCGCACGCAGCCAGCACGACACCACACACGAGTGGAGAATTTGTCTGAAAAAAGGCTACCTCTGTGCGGAGGACTTCTCCGCTGAAGATCGTGAGGTAGGACGGTGTTATTTGAATGGCGAGGTAGAAGATCCTTGATAGCTTGTGAGGCAGCAGCGGAGGATGTAACCCAGGGGTCAGCGTACAAGTACAACGCTCTACAGGCGACTGCTGTTGTCGCCGCCCGCGTCTCGAGGGCCAAAGAGACAAGATGATTGCAAGAGTGTGTGCGTGTGTGGGATGTTCTTGCTTGCGCATCGTCCTAGAGATCCGATGATGACGCTTTGTGTCCGGTCCGGTGGTGTAGTGTACGTGTGTGGCCACAGCGAATTCAAACACAATCGACGAAGACGAATCGGCCAACCGCCATTTCCCCGACGAGCGACAAGCTGATTCGCCAGCCTGGTGTTAGGATCCTGTGGCCTCCTGCGGTATTGATATGTGTAGCCCTCTCTCTTCACTGCACTTTGCATCGGGGGCAGGGGTGAATTGTACATCTCACAGGACGCAGGACGAACTTCTGGTTTACTCTTCTGCGGCAATGCAGACGTCGGCAAAGGGTACAGCAGTACACTTGATCGTCCTCGACCATGTTTCTCCGCCAATCGTGTCCCTGCCCCTGGGGTAGACAAATACAAGTAACATTACAACATTACTATCTTCGGAAGTACATACATTCTGTAGACATAAACCGTCTGGGACACACCGTAAGGAAGATGTGCACTCCCAGCGTCTGCGCGTCTTTATTTGGCCCTCATGGATTCCAGCACTTTTTTAAATGCCCCGCCAGGCTACTATCTACTACTGCTCCGGTAGAGTTGCCTAACTACCGCTGTGTGCTCCTTCCCTCGCGGGCCGGGCCACACACCCGTCGTCCGCTTTTCCAGCTGGCGCTCTGCCGCGCAAAGCGGCCTGAAGTCTGCCGGGGTGCGGTTCTCCATATGCGACCCCTTCTCATCTTTTAGCGTTCGTTGTGGTGCCCCCCCCCCCCCAAGAAAGGAAAAAGTAAAGGCAACCCCCCCGGTGCCCAGGGGCCCCCCCCCGGCCCCCTTTTTCCCTATGGCGACGCCCCCACCTAAGAACTCCTTCCCCAGTGTTCGAAACACTGGGGGGGTGAAAAAAAGCCAAAACCCCAATTTTCTGGCAACCACCCCCCTGGCAAAAAACGCGGGCAATGCTGGCCCCGGGG